AGACTTGCCACGGTCTCCAACCCTCCTCCTTTCTCATCCGGGCTTGGGACCGGCCATGGCGGAGTTTCCATGGAGGTATTCCTTCTTCAGCTTAAATATTGGACTGGATTCTGAAAGCATTCAAGACTAAAACCTCCCTTTGCTATTTAACTCTGATTAAATGGTTTGTTTCATTTCTGAAAATGATGAAGGCCAAACACTTGAGTTGGTTAACTAACCAACCAGCTAACTTTCCCGCCTTGATACCCTTGTAGAGCAGCTGTGCCGGATGGGCGTCTGATAGCCTTCGACTTTCGTAGCTGTGCTGCGTATGTAAGCAGTCAGGTGAATTGTCCCCCGCCCCCCGTACTGCTCGCCAGAACAATGTCATCTGCGTACTTTTGATCATCAAGGCATCTACCCGGAAATACTGAACTGCGCCTTCCCTCATGAATGAGAACTTCGTCTTTGCCAGGGTCAGCACTGTCGAAGACGAAAGTCTAGAACAATAATGACTAGCAAACTCGAAAACACGTCTCTTTGGTGAACTCTACTATTAATAGAGACCCAGTGAAATAGCTCGCCTTGAAGTTTGCCAGCAGATATGGTTCCTGCATGTATTTCCTGAAAGGTAAACGTGACGTGTTCAGGTATTTTAAGGATTTTCATATCTGCGAACAATGCAATGAATCAAATGCAGCTTAAATTTAATGAAACTAGCAAACCAATGCATATAGAATCATTACCATCGCTCATTAATCCTATGCAAAGTACAAAATTTGTCGTGGGAGGAGCACAGCCTGCGGGAACATGTTTCATTTGGGCAAAGTTTCCCAACAATTGTCTGCCTCAGTCTTTCCAAGATTATCCAGGAAAAAAGTTTCCCGATGTAATGTAATGCAGCATTAATTGTAAAACTGTGACCAGACGCGTACCTGCAAAGGTTACACAATACGTCTTTATCAAATAATTTAAACTTTTGCTTGTTCAATTTGCATTGACAACCGAAAAGTGCAGTCAGCGAAGTAAGTCGACATTCATCAACTGAATAATGCGGATGGTGCCGCTTAATGTTTAATGGAACTTCAGAAAGTCTTCAGTTCTCTGTTTCGTTTTAGAAGCGTCATCGCACTCGAGAATAAGTTAAGATCATATTTGAAAGTGGCTGAAACACTATTTAATTGCTAATATGGTCACAATTATGCATAACGTGGATAAAAGGGAAGTCAATTTGGCGGACGATTAAACGTCAATAATCAACTTATGCCGAGCATCAAAAATTAAACAATAAGGTTCTTCGATGTAAGCACGTCTCAAGGGGTAGCGCGACGTTTTCGCTTCTTTGCTCATAAAAAATGCCTTGAAGCAGTAGCGTCGAAAGTAACGTACTTCCAAGCTTGCAAACCGGTACTTCAGGCAGCCTTCTGATTCGCCATCGAACACATCCTCTTGAGAATCGCGTCGCTTCGCCTTTACCTCTCGCTTGTCGATGACAGTGTGACGGTAATTCATCATCAGCTCTGCGATGACGGTCGTCTCGCACTGGCCTTCTACAGTGAACTTCGTGTTAGAAACGAATTGCTGACCAGCAGAAGTAATACCTAAACGTATGAAGGAACGCAATTTCGATGTAACACATAATCGTAGGTAAACAGACTATCACTCTGACATTCGATCAATGACTAGAAGAAATAAGTAGCAATAACGTTTCTGCTTTTGTCC